AGAGCAGTGTTAGTTATTTGTGAGCAATAAAGAACGTAAAGATAATTTATGATGTTTAATAAAAATTTATCAAACGAGAAAAATAAGGCTATATTCTAGGAATGATAATGATAAACATTTAGCAATAAAAGAGAATGTTAACTCGGGAGATGTAATAATTGCAACAAACCTAGCTGGAAGAGGAACAGATATTAAAACAAGTGCTAGCGTTGAAAAGAATGGAGGATTGCACGTGATAGTTACATTTCTGCCATTAAATTCAAGAATAGAGGAACAAGCGTTTGGAAGAACTGCAAGACAAGGAGCAAAAGGAACTGCCCAATTAATGATTGATAGAATGGATACTGAAAAAAAAATTAAATACGTATGAAGGTTTAAATAATATATATGAAATTAAGCAGCTTAGGGAATGTAAAGAATATAACAATATAGGAAACTAGATTGTATGAAATGGAGGAGGTTAAATTAAGAGATATACTATTTGAGATATACTTAGAGATCAATAACAACCTAAGAAAGGTAGAAGAAGAGAAGATAAAAGAAATGTCAATATTTGAAAAGTTAGCAAAAAAAGATATATATGAACTTAAACTACTGCAAGTAGAAGAGAGATGGGGAATGAAACTAAAATTATTTGAAAAGACATTAGCTTATAATAGTGGGGCAAAGGAAAAACTGAAAAGGTAGCAGAAAATTTGGATTTAAACCATATTATACTAATAAAAAATATTTAGTTTATATGAGGCAATTAGTATAAGCCTAAAGAATAGAGCAAATGGTGAGCACCTGTTATGACTTGCAGTAGGACACATTTTAGATGCTTTTTCTAGTAATTATCCTAATTCTATTACATTTGATATCAATTTTTATGATACAGCTGCAAAAAGATTCAATAATCAAGAAATATTAAAAAGCTTAGCATTAATATTTAGTAATAATAAGCAGCGATCAAAAAATCTGGAGGTCTACAAATAAAAGATACAAAAAAACAGTTTATATAGGCTTAGAAGCAGGAAGTAGAAAACATTTAAATATTATAAACCCTTAGTAAAAGTTTTAGACAATAATAAAGTTATAAAAAATTATTTAATAAATGCAAAATAAGTAAAACTGCTGAGTATAAAGTATTATAAATTCTTTTTGAAAGAAAAGAGATAAAAATTACTAGACAAAATTATAAAAAAAAAGTCAAAAGAAATAAGTAAATGTAATTTAATAAAAAGAGAAGAAGGAATTAGTTATTTTAAAAAACTTTTTAATAATTAAAAAAAGAGTATGAAGCAAAAATAAAATAATAAGAAATCCTGCTTATATGGTTAACAGGGAATTGCAAAGTCAAAAATTAAAGAAAAAATTGATATATTAGAAGGTGCATGCAATTTATAAAAATATATTCATTACCAGCACATTATAATTTGGCTTATGCAATAATCGAAGAAAAGAAAGACTATAAACAAAGGGCAATTATTAACTAATTAATAGCAAAAGATTGAATAGATAAATACTTAGTACCTTATTTAGAATTTATGCAAATAATACTTCCACTTGGCCAAAGCTGTGAATTATCAAAGCAAATAATTAACAAGATAAAAATATTAATGACAATTAAGAGCAATATAGAAGAAACAATTAAAAATATAATAATAATAGCAAAGACAAACTTAAAATAAATAAAATTGAGCTAGAAGAATATTTTAATAATTAATCTTTAGATGCAGAAATAAGAGAATTCAAAAATGAAGGGTTGCTATAACTTTATAATGTAGAACTAAGTAGATTGGTTTGAAGTAATATTTTTAGGTATTGCAGGAGCGGTACAAATAGGACTAGGAACATATTGTTTAAAAATGGGAAATGGTGATGTAGCAAAATTTCTTATAACAGAAGACATTGTTGATTGCCTTGATTTAATAAAAATATTCTGCAGAACAATGCAAGATTTTAGTATAACCAATTATTTTTATAAAAAAACAATTAACGTTATAATATCATTAGCGATATATAAACTACAAATGTTTTCATCGAAATAAAAACATTTATAGAAACAAAAATATCTTTATCTAGTTGATCAACTACTTTAACTACTTTATCTAGCTCATCTTCATCTAGCTTATCAACTACTTCATCTGATTCATTGGATGCATTAATACCAGTAGAAGAATTTATAGAAATAGTTGCAACTACATTAGCAAAAACTGGTATACATGCATTATTAAACATAGGTGCAGATGGATTTATAATCGATTTCGGAAAGATTTAAGAGAAAATATATTAAAAGAATTAAAAGTAAGTCTAAATGACCCAGCTATATTAATATATTTAAATAAGTTAGCAGTAATAGATATAATAGGTGACCTTAATAAGATAATAACAAGTGCAATGAAAATTTTAAAAGACTAAGAAAGTATATTTAAAGAGCTAATAGATTAAGGATTAGAAGAAATATTAGTAAGTAAAGTGCTAATATTAAAAAAATTTTAATGGCTTATCAAGCTAGAAATTCAGTACAAATAATAAGACAAATAAATGCAGAAGCAAGAAAAATAGAAAAAAATATCAAATGTATCTAAAGTGAGATTGAAGAGTTATATAAACAAAAAATAAAGCTTGAGGCAATTTTAGCAAGAAAATTAAAGCCAAAAAATAGATTTAGAAGATGCAAAAAAAATAATAAAACTATTAAAAAAAATTATGGCAATAAGAAAAGAAGAGTTCAATAAGGACAAAGAACAAGAAATAAATTTTAATGAATATAATAATCACAAATCTGAAATAATCAAAATATTAACTAATTATGAAGAGTTAAGAAAACGTGAGTTTGGTGATGAAATAAAACAAGTTCTAATAGTATACTTGAAAAAATGTATAACAAAATCTGTTCTAGCTAAAATAAAAACTCAAGCATTAGGATGTTTAACAAGTGTAATGACAGATAAAGTAATTGATCATATAAATGATAAAGTAAAAAACAAATTAAAAAATAAACATAATATGGATAATATGGGCTAGGTGGGAAATTGACAAATTTATTAAAATTAATTTTTTATATAAATTAATTAGAATAAGATTAAGATCATTTTTCACTTAAGACACAAATGTAGTTGTATTAATAAAAGTTTGCAGTATAGGTCTTTAAAATTTGTAATTTCTTATGATTTATTATAAAATTTAACACCCTTAAGAAATTGATTTGTGTTTGTTTTGCAATCCTTTCCAAATTTGTTTAATCTGATATATTTCTATTCACTATTTGGTTACTTTGTATTTTCTTAAGATATGCCACTTTGTCTATTTTACCAAGAAAGAAAATCACATGTCAAAATTTTTAGAATTATCTTTAAAGTATTACATATATAACATTCATAACTATCATGCTATTAAACAGTACTCGGTATACTACATTTATGGAATGTTGAATGTTATAGGCTTGGACTTTAATTGTGAACATAGTTCACGATATTATGTGATCACGTGATCAAGTAATTTAATATGATGGGATGGGTACTAAGTGTAAATCGAGTAAATCAGAATAGTAGTACATGAATAGTTTATTAGAGCAGATCTTATTTTGTATAATGTGTGCATCATTGATGTAAAGTCTATTATAGCTTGTGCACAATCTTGCATTAAATATGCAGTCATCAATTTGTAGTCTAATAGAGTGAAAATTCTGTATATATATATAGCGTAAGGGCTTAATAAGCTAGAGTTAGAGTTCTCTCTCTTGTAATAATAATACATTCATATCTTGTAATAAACCACTAGTTACTTATCTCTTGATCCCTTGTGTGTGAGCATATTGCCAATGCTGTCTCAATTATAGTGCTACTAGTTAAGCTAGATTATTAAGTGAGAAACCTTCATTTAGGCTGTTCGAAGATAATTCTTCGGTTAACATCACTCCTTCCTTAGTTGAAGCCTCCCCCAAAAAATGAACAACCAATCAAAACGTTGGATAACTCTCACTGATCACTTGATTTACATCGACCAATAAAATTGGCCCATATTCGTTCATTTGTTTTATTTTACCCAAGTGATGTTAACCAGAAGTATTAACTTATTCGAAATTAATTTTTGGTTACCATCACCTTTTCCTCTCCCTTCGATAGTCCCCTGGTAAAATAAAATATAAAAAAAAAATAAAATGTGAAAAAAAAATTAAAAATTAAAATATAAAAAAAAATAAAAATAATAAAGGTGTGTTATTTGTACCCCCCTATAGATCAAATTCTTTGAGCAAAGATGTCTTGACAACCACCAAGACAAATTTGATGAGTTTTTTTTTATTTAAATTCTACAGCTTTGTAGAATTAAATAAAAAAAAATCATCGATTTTGGCTTGGGGGTCGTCGAGATATCTTTGCTCAAAGTTAAAGAAAAATTTTGGCACAGCTTTTATTTTAATAGACATTTTGAGTTTTTTAAAACTTTGAACGATGATATCTCAACAATCATTATGCCAAATTCGATGGCTTTTTTTATTTGAATTCTACAAAGCTGTAGAATTCAAATAAAAAAAGAATCATCAAATTTAGCTTGATGGTTGTCAAGACATCTTCGCTCAAAGTTTTAAAAAACTCAAAATGTCTATCAAAATAAAAGCTGCGCCAAATTTTTCTTTAACTTTGAGCGATAATATCTTGACAACTACCAAGCTAAAATCGATTAATTTTTTTTATTTTAATTCTACAAAGCTGTAGAATTCAAATAAAAAAAAAACTCATCAAATTTGGCTTGGTGGTTGTCAAGATATCATCGTTCAAAGTTAAAGAAAAATTTTGGCACAGCTTTTATTTTGATAGACGTTTTGAGTTTTTTAAAACTTTGAGCGAAGAAATCTCAATAACATTCAAGGCAAATTTGATGAACTTTTTTATTTGAATTTTACAAAGTTGCAGAATTCAAATAAAAAAAAAATCATCGAGTTTGGCTTAGTAGTTGTTGAGATATCATCATTCAAAGTTTTAAAAAACTTAAAATGTCTATCAAAATAAAAGCTGTGCCAAAATTTTTTTTTAACTTTGAGTGAAGATATCTTGACAGCTACCAAGCTAAAATTGATGTATTTTTTTTATTTGAATTCTACAGCTTTGTAGAATTGAAATAAAAAAAATTCATCAAATTTGTCTTGGTGGCTGTCAAGATACCTTCGCTTAAAGTTGAAGAAAAATTTGATCTACAGGAGGTATGAATAACAAAATTTGAGGTATGAATATCAGCCGCCTAAAATAAAAAATTAGAATATAATTAGGCTATTCGAAGTTAAACTCTCAGTTAACATCATCTCTCTCCAAAAAGCTAAAAAACAATTGAAATGCTAGATAGCTTCCCTAATCACATAAGCAA